TCGCCTGTAGCTCACCACATGTATTCCTCATTTTAATTTCCCTCTCTGGTTCCTGTCACCATGGTTTTAAAAAATCTAACTTTATACATAACAACCTCATGCCATATATGACATTAATCACTAGGAAAAGGAAACGTAACTTTCTTGGAATTGTGTACCACCCACACTAAAAATAATACACATACACAGAGAGAGAGAGAGAGAGAGAGTGAGAGGAGAGAGAAAGAGGGGTTCAAATTGATTTATTGATTCTTTATGCTATACATGGTTTATTATCGTTTTTTGACTTTCATTTTCTGATCTACATTGAAATGGAGCCGTAGCTTGTCAGCATCTTATTTGGAGACAAATTGCTGTTAAAATATGGTTATATCGGAAAATTAAATGGATGTTACAGAAGGACAAAGTAATATCTATATTGTAAACAAACTATAAATAAAAAGATAACTGTATGATATCCAGGCTCAAAAAAGAAAGTTTTTTTGTCACTTGTATATGTCCTACTGTGGGCAACACAAGAAGAAGATAATGGTTTCTGTGGGAAGATAATGATAACAAACATCAGCACTAATGTGGTGCTTTTTGGGAGAGAACTAAACAAATCCCTGTGAATCAAGAGGTGAAGAAAAGACGCTTTGGAAATGGCATGTTAAGAAAATCTTAGAAGTATTTAGCTAGAATATCTCCACACAGGGTCATAGAAAAAAAGGCAGACCAAAAATAAAAATATGCAGGACATAGGGTGAGCTGCATATGATAGCACACGATAGGATGGTTGGGGCCCAAAACTCAGTTTAAGAGGAACAAGAAGAGAATAAGAAGAATGAGAGAGAGAATGTTTTTCCGTTTTTTTTACTGAAGTACGTCACACTTAGTTATGTAATATAGAGGCCAGTTTGTCCAAATCTGTGTATATTTATGTAAGGTTTACCTCCACATTCCACCTGAAGTAGTGTATTACCTCTTTTGTTTTTCCAATAACAATTGTGTGCACCAGTTGATCTGGCTGACATTTTAGCACTCAGAGGAAAGGCAAGATCAGACTGCTGCTGTTACCATTGGAATTGGTACTCTGTGCTGGATGCTTAAGATAAGGACAGAGTACTTATGGGAATGTACTGAGTGCTAAGATATTGATACTTAACTGAATAACAGTTTTGTGCCAGGGCAGGGTCTTGTGGTTTGCTCTTTGCAATTTCCAACTGCTTTGGGATTTGTTAATGTGTACAATTTATACTTGGGATCGTCTTCTTCTTTACAACTATCTGAGGTGGGTAGATTTCTGATCTTACTATAGAAGAGAGGGAGATTTGAACCACATAGCTTCTGAGCCTAAGGCAAACACTGAAACCTCTCAGACATGCTATTACTTGAGAGAGAAAAATTGCTCAGCTATACTTCTTATCAAGAGATATTGCTAGAAATTAGATACACCGGCCTTAAGTAATTGACATCTCAAATGTTCAAATTTACTGCCCTGAAAATAGAGGTGTTCTTTTTTCGTTGCTTGAACTTTTCTGCTTTGCCTTTTTATATAGATGTACCATGCTCTTTTTATTTGTATCATGGTATTGTTGTCTCTCTTGTCCTTCCACTCTCTCCTCCTTCCTCTCTGTCCCTCACAGAAACACATACACAAACAACACCTGATTTATCACAAGACTCAAGAGGCATCACTTGAGAGGTATAGAAATAGAAACACAGCCTGCCACATTAAAGTCTTTCAACAGTTCACCCCATAAATATCCAAACTCCACCATTTTAATAGTGGAACCAAACTCCACCATTTTAATAGTGGAACCAAACTTCCCCATTTTAATAGTGGAACCCAAACTCCACCATTTTAATAGTGGAATCCAAACTCCACCATTTTAATAGTGGAATCCAAACTCCACCATTTTAATAGTCGAACCCAAACTCCACCATTTTATAGTGGAACCATTTTTCACCATAGTGGAACCCACCTCCAAAATAGTGGAACCAAACTCCACCATTTTAATAGTGGAACCCAAACTCCACCATTTTAATAGTGGAACCAAACTTCACCATTTTAATAGTGGAACCCAAACTCCACCATTTTAATAATGGAACCCAAACTCCACTATTTTAATGGTGGAATCCAACTCCACCATTTTAATAGTGGAACCAAACTCCACCATTTTAATAGTGGAACCAAACTTCACCATTTTAATAGTGGAACCCAAACTCCACCATTTTAATAATGGAACCCAAACTCCACTATTTTAATGGTGGAATCCAAACTCCACCATTTTAATAGTGGAACCAAACTCAACCATTTTAATAGTGGAACCAAACTTCACCTTTTTAATAGTGGAACCCAAACTCCACCATTTTAATAGTGGAACCCAAACTCCACCATGTTAACAGTTTAGCCCAAACTCCACATATTACTAACAGAATGCAATGCATGGCGTGTGTTCTATGTTCCTAACTGGTATATCTTTGTTCCTTGTTGAGCATACTCTTGTTACAGGAGACTGGGCATTTGTCTTACATATTGTGTCTAACATGTTATGTGTGATTTGCCATCATGCGGCAGTTCAGATGGCTGTTTTTTTCCCCCCTTTAATAGTGTCTTTATATGTGTGTGAGTGTTTAAAGATTGTATCTCTTCTAGACCTTCTTTCTTTGATGGTTTGTGGCCCGATATTTTTATACGCTGGAGCTAAACTCATCAGATTACAATAATTTGCTAGACAACTTTAAACTTCATACAGCCTGTTTTCCACATCTGGGCTGCTGTCTCATTATTTGAGCACCTGTGTGGCTTAAAAGAGTTTCAACTTGGATAACAAACCAATAGGGCAAAACATAAAGAGCCCCTAACACCTCTAAGGAACCTATAATTAGGCTACATGAAGTGATGTACCTTGGAATCCTGTACAAGGAAGGGACTGGCTGGCCTTTTCTAGCTCCATGAATTGATCAAAGCATTTTTTGTAAACTTAAAAATAAACTATAGCTCGTTAAAAAATTTTAGCCAGAGAATAAGGGATCAGAAATTTACAGCTGAGATTCAAACAGACATTTTAAAAGGCATAGAGTGAGAGAGCTGAGGAGAATAAGAGACAGACATGTATAAAAGGCATAGAATTTACAGCTGAGGAGAATAAGAGACAGACATGTATAAAAGGCATAGAGTGAACACAGCTGAGGAGAATAAGAGACAGACATGTATAAAAGGCATAGAGTGAACTGCTTGAGATTGCCAAGGATAGGAAATCTTGGTGTAGGTTGGTTGAGAGCTATGCTCCAATGGAAAAAGGATTTGAATTATCACTATATGTCAGTTTCATTCAGTTTACCCATTATCTGTCATTTTGGTTTGACCAAGTTCAGTAGTTGTCTGGCTGTCTATGCAGCTAATTGTTCGGCTGATTGTCTCAGAATGGAACATAGGTCTTTATCAGACCAAGTTCAGTTGTAGACACTTCCATATTTGGCTGGACATTCAGCTGAGGTTTCTGTGGGATTAGGTAGTTGTTCTCACACCAACCTTCCTTAGTGGCCTCTTATGACATGAATGATATGTTATACACGCCTTGTACTATTTGCTTTCCTGATGGGTCCAGGTGATCTTATTTGCTGCCTGGTTGCAGATTTTGTCTTCTAATTTTGTGATGCTACTTGGGTGTCTTCCCTTCTGAACATAAATTCAGCATCTGCTGTAATAATAATTTATGAAATGAGAGAACTGCTAGCAAACCAAACACATTGTCTGGACTGTTTCATGATGTGTTGGCACGCATTTGTATTGTTTCTTATATACTTTTCGTGCATGTACCTTTTATTTTTTTTTTAAATCTTTTTTAAAATTATTTTTGTTTGTTTGTTTTTGTTTTTCATGTTTTAACACTGGAATTATAAGCAGGGCATTTACCAGTATGGTTAGCTGTTTATTATTTTTCCCACTTGTCAGAAAGAGCTATAGAAGTAAAGAGTGATTTGTACTTATGCTTCATAGACTATACAAAAGCATTTGACTGCGTGAAACATGAAAAAGAAATCAAACTGTTTGAAAATTTAAACATTGATGGAAAAGATCTACTAATAATAATAATATGTATTGGCAGCAAACAGCAGCTATAAGAATTAACAACAGTTTAGGTACATTTCACTCCAAAAGGCACAATATTAGCTTGCTATAAACTACAACACAGCACATCTACTGCCATTTTAAAGGTGAACAAAAAAGAGTAAGAAGATATTCATAAATTTTGCAGTCCATACAGTAATTTTTCTTTTTGTTGTTGTTGCATTCTCTCTCTTATCTCTTCTGGCTCTCTGGCTTCTTGTAACTATCAGTTAGTTGCTTTTTCTCAGAATTGCTCATACCATGTGTGGCTGACCTCTTAATGCTTCAAAAATCAAACTTTGATGCCAGCTTTTCAGCTAATAGGATGTAATAGCACTATTTGTGTGCCTAGTTTGCAGCCAGCTGACAGGTCACAATAAGTACTTGACTTGTTGAAAAGAGCTGGTCACCATACTTCATAAAGCTGGATTGTAGTGAATGTAAAAATCCTTCCTGCCCCTGTTGGGATTCTGTTAATAGACTTACCTCCATTTGAAACTCTGAAGTTGTGAAACAAGGTTGCAGGCGAGGTGCTCACACATTTCTAGTGTTTAGTCCCAAGGGAAGTTAACTTTCGAGATCACTCCAGCCAGTTATCCTTATCATTAATAGCTCATCCAGGAAGGCAGCTAGAGTTCTGGCTCAGCTCAGTCAGAGTGATCATTAAGTCATGTAGAGCTGCTTGCTTCTTATATCGGTATAATTATTTTTTTGTAGCTTTCTGAATTTATCACCCACTTTTAGCAGTAGTCAAATTTTTTTTGGGGGGGGGGATTCTTATCAGATCCATAAAATTAGTATTCTCTGCAGTAAGATAGATATGCCTCATAGGCTGAAAATGACCATCTTTGTTTCACGATTAAGGGTGTCATCTTTGTAATAAATGTGAATCGCAAACTTTCAGCCTGGAGATCAAGGAGGTCCACTCATCTCGCAGGGCGCAGGCATGTGTGATTGCCCCTTTCTTCAGCTCGATGAAGCTGGTGGTCTTCTGTACCTTCACAGCCTTGGTGGTGACAGGCAATTCCATGACTGCGTACAGGGTTTTCCTGACCATCGGCCTGTTCCAGGCGTTTCGGTTGTCCACGACCTTGTTCATCCCCTTTGCCATCCAGCATATGGCAGAAAGCAAAGTTGTTTTGAGTCGCCTGGAGGTCAGTAATTCCCTACTGCTTTCTTAAGTCTGGTGTGATAATGGCAGCTGTTTTTGCTTGTGTTCGTTTGTAATCTAGCTTGAGTGTATGCACCAGGAGTTTGACTTACTGGTTTGTTGTAAACGGTATTGCTGCTACATAAATGAGGAATGACTGGTCAGTTGGTTGGAGTGCTGTGGTATTATCTGAGAGACTGGTTTTTCTGTTGATGGCTCATTTAAAAATCCTAATGGACATGGTTGGTGACTGCATTAGCCATGTGACTATAAATCTTTAGACTGAAAACTCTTTGTCTTGTTCTACACTATTCTAAAAGTAGTAAATAATTAAAAAGGGGCAAGTTCTACATCTAAAAGAAAGTAAATAGTAAAAAGTTGTTAGCTGTTCTTTACTACTCTCAAAATAGTAAAAAAAATTAAAAAGTGGTAAGTTGTACAACACTACTCTAAAAGTAGTTGATGAGTAAAAAGTGGTAAGTTGTTCCACATCACTCTACTACCAGTCCAGAAGTGGGCAAACAGTCATTATTTTGATTTGGAATTTACAGTCGGTGAACGCAAAGGAAAATAACATTGTGACTGATTATGTAATGATATTACCTTCACCTTCTATCTCTGACCCTCTTCCTTCTGCGGATATAAGCATATGTCTGTATTCAAGAGCTATATGTCCTGATATCTATGGCCATATTTTCTAACAAGCTATGATCATTCGATCATTCACCTTATAGTTTTATATATTTCTCTGCACTTTCTTGGATCAACTTTCTCTTTCTTTCTGTTTGTCCCCCCCCCCCCCCCCCCCCCCCCCCCCCCCCCCCCGCACGCACATGGTATGTTCTGAACCCTTGTTTATTGGGCCAGTGGAATGTTTTTCTACTGTTGGATAGGAGCGAAGTTCATAGCTTCATGTTAGAAATCATCTTCATTGCATATCGGAGCTAAGTATTTAACCATACCTCCTTGTGTATGTTTAAAGACCGTATTACTTCATGTTTCAAGCACCATGTAACTGTTAGTTTAAAATATCACTGCAATATACCGGTGTTGTAATTTATCTTAGTCTTAGCTGTTAAATATTGAAGAAAGAGTATTTTTATTTGAGCATGTTGTGACGACACGGCTTCAGAACATGTCTTTCCTCAATGTATTTTTTAAAATGTTTCTTAAAGTTATAGAGGAAAATATGTTTCTGGGCTGTAACCTAAATCTAGGTCAACCAGAACAAAGCCAATTAATTTCACTTTGACTACAGTTGAAGTCAAACACTTAGACTTTTGCACAGAGGTTAGGTGTTAAGAATCCAGATAACACTGACCAAGACATAGGGGCTGAAGATTTTTTTTTTTTTAACTAGGGTGTCATAAAATTATTAAAGGCCAGACCTTAAGAGCAGGTAACTCATGATAAAACTAATTATCTCCCCCGAGATTACCAAACTTGAGTGTAGGTCCAATGGCTAGTATTGTCACTGATCTGATGAGGTGTCAGAGCATTTAGCAGACTTGGAATGTAGAAGGAAGATGTGACTAGATTTATGACCAAAGCTCAAGCCAGCTTGATGAACCCTAGGAATGCAAACAAGTGTTTCAGCCTTCCCAACTGACAGGTATTTAGTGAAAGCACTAAACCCATGACATCCCTGGAGGTTTAGGAGGAGGAAGAGGAGAAGCTTATGAGAGATAATAAAAGTGTCTGTTGGGGGCTGAGTGGTCTTGAGGTATGGTGTCGCCTGGAGGTCCCGGGTTCAAGCCTCGATAAAGGCTGGGATTTTTTTCACTTGGACTTCAAGTAATATCCCCTGGTCTCTGAGTAGTGAAGATTGGACGTCTGTGTGTATTCTTGCGCACATAAAAAAATCCTTGGCAGTTTGTAATCGAAAAAGAGTAGCGTAACAGTGCTGCCTGGGCAAAATTTGGAGTTAAAAGCTACCCAAAGTAATTATGATCCTCGCCGTTACAACAGAGTTTGTGCACTGCAATTAGATTCTTAAGGCTCAGGCTTGAGTTAGAAGTAGAACGGAGCACTTATGGGTTACCACCCATGTGCCATGATATTGATCCATCGAATAAACATAAAACATATAAAAGTGTGGACCGTAGGGCCTGTTGAATTCATCGACTGATGCATTATCATCATAGCATACAATTTTTGATTGCAACCTCAAAAACCAAAACCATTCCATTTATTTTGCTTTAGACTGAACTATAAAATTTTATGTCAAGTTTTATGTCGTAGTTGGGTAAATTCTGTACTTAGATTCAAGTGTCTTTGTGCATACTGGTTTACCCCAGCTCATTTATATGTAAATCACTTGATAGGGGCTTTTGTTATAAAGTAATACAAGGAGTGGAGAAAGTTGTAGGGGGTTAACTGTGTATCTTGATTTTCTCATGTTGAATTACTCTTGATATCTTGATTAGCCTTTTCCTACTCCTGTGGATACAAGTAAAGCTACTTAAATTTTATTCTACAAGCCACTTTTTTCTGTTTTCTTGGTTATCCAGGACTTTTAGGATCAACATAGCTCAGGTATTAGTCCAGTTTCTCACGTGGGTGTGCAGTGTCAGGATTCAAACCCACACACTCATTACATAATTGTATATCCTTTGGTGTTGATACATGTGTTCTTCAGTGTTGGCAGGGATTCGAATGTGGTTGTTCAACAATTTATGATGCATTTCCTGATATTCGAGTGCCTCCTCCTAATAATGTAAGCAGTTTAACCAGTAGAATAAATGATGTGTAGAGCGGTAATGTGGAAAACGTATCCAAAACAGGACACACTATTGCAGTATATGTTGCATGAAATTCACTGGTGGTGTTTACAAAAACAGGAATGGCAATATTTTCAGTCGTTGAAAATACACTGAGTACATTTAACTTTGTTTTAAATCTGTGTGCTGTCTTGATTTTGATTATATTTACTTGTAGCTTTTATCTGACTGAATTTTCTTTAAACTTATACACTTTGGAATTTAATAAGAGAGGACAAAGAGAAAGGGGAAGTTTGTTGTCTTTAGGGTGTTTTAAACATAATTTCACGAGCATTTAGAAGGAAGCAGAATAAAATGATCATGATGTATTGTTAGTGTCTTCTTTTTTCAGACTTCCTTAATTATTCATGTGTAAGAGTGAATAGAAGGGCAGAGTTCATCTTCTTCTTCCGCATTCTGAGCCCTTGAGATTCCTTACTACAGATATCACCTGCCTCCATTCATCTCTCTGATTGACTTACTCTTTCCAGTTGGTGACACCGTTTTGTAGGTCTGTCTGGATATTATCTCTCTATACTCTTTTTGGTCTGCCTCATGATCTGCTATCATTCAGCTCCCTAGTGTACACAGCTTTTACCTCTTTATCATCTGACATTCTCTTGGTAAGCTCCAGGTTTTTCAGTCTAAAAGCCCTCATGATGCCAGTAGTCGGTGGTGATTTAAAAATTGTGAACTTCATTGTTGCTTCATACTCTCCATTTCCCTCTGTTTGCATCTTTGATGGGCACAGAGATTCGTTGCAAGATTCAAAAGTTTGTAATAAGGCATCATCTCTTTTAGTTGTGCTGCAAGTTTCAAAGCCATCTAAACCAACTGGTCACAAAAAAACTTTATATATTTTGATCTTGATTTTGAAAGATAGAGATTTTGACTCTAGCAGATGTTGAAAGGCATAGTATACTTTATTTCCAGATTGTATCAAGATTGTATTTCTTCTCGCAGCATGTTGGAACAGTTGAAGTTTGTGTGCAGCACCCACACCCAAAAAAACTGAAAGTTTTTTTACTCTCTTATGTAGAGCTTCGATGAACATTTAATGTGTTACTTATATTTAGTACAGAGTAAATAATAAATGACTTCTTCTTTGGCTTGTCAACTCCCAGTCGAACAGAGGCTGTTAAACAACTCTTTGTCAGGTCAAAGGAACCTCTTCCACACCTTGGGTTTATAGTGCCAGACCAATAATTTCAGACCAATCAGCACTTGATGGGTCAATGTCATGCCAGCCGCCTTTACATCCCAGAACTTCACCTGGTATGCATTTAAAGCTGGGTTGACCCTGAAGACTTATGTCAGGTCCTTTATGGATTTATTCGTGACAAATTGGATTTTGCAGATTAAGTTTTCAAAATGGGAAGAGAGAAGTATTTTGCTATCTCCACATAATGGTTGGCTAAAGTATCCCACTGCTGTCTTTAGGAATATTATGTGGTAAGGCCTTAATCTCTTCCATGGCGCAAACCTCGTTTGAAAACAGCAAGGTTTTTGTTTTTTAAAGATGAATTATCCACAGCGGAAATCTAGCTGTTGTACTCAACATCAGGAAGTTTTTAAACACATTCATTAACCTCTGCAGAAATCTAGCCATAGTACTCAACATCAGGAAGTTTTTAAACACATTCATTAACCTCTGCGGAAATCTAGCCATAGTACTCAACATCAGGAAGTTTTTAAACACATTTATTAACCTCTGCAAAAATCTAGCCATAGTACTCAACATAAGGAAGTTGTTAAACCCATTCATTAACCTCTGCAGAAATCTAGCCATAGACTCAACATCAGGAAGTTGTTAAACCCATTTATTAACCTCTGCAGAAATCTAGCCATAGTACTCAACATCAGGAAGTTGTTAAACCCATTCATTAACCTCTGCAGAAATCTAGCCATAGTACTCAACATCAGGAAGTTGTTAAACCCATTCATTAACCTCTGCAGAAATCTAGCCATAGTACTCAACATCAGGAAGTTGTTAAACCCATTCATTAACCTCTGCAGAAATCTAGCCATAGTACTCAACATCAGGAAGTTTTTAAACACATTCATTAACCTCTGCAGAAATCTAGCCATAGTACTCAACATCAGGAAGTTTTTAAACACATTCATTAACCTCTGCAGAAATCTAGCCATAGTACTCAACATCAGGAAGTTTTTAAACACATTCATTAACCTCTGCAGAAATCTAGCCATAGTACTCAACATCAGGAAGTTTTTAAACACATTCATT